GAGTAGTCCTATATTCTTCCTCTCTCGTTCGATTTCCGTCCGCTCCTTCGTCTCCATTCGTCGTCTGTGCTCCTTCGTCTCCATTCGCCGTCTGCGCTCCTTCGTCACCATTCGCCGTCTGCGCTCCTTCGTCTTCGTTCGTCGTCTCCTTCATCTCACCGATTGGAAAGTAGTTTTGTCTCACCATGATATATTTTTCATTCCAATATATCCTCCAAGTTTTTTTATTTCAGATTTGAACAATGTCGAAAACTCATTGTTTTTTTTTGTACTGTTAAACCCCTTCCATACACATATATATTCAATGGTTTTTTTTCAATTTATGATTTTGTATAGTTTAACGCTCTATTTTTATACGCACCTAGATTTCAGTAGTGCAAAATGTAGGTGTGAACTAATGTATATCTAGGGATACATCTTATAGTGAGTTTGATTTCATCGCTTTGTCATCAGTATATATGGAGATATATGGGATATATCTTATAGTGTATACATTTAGTTCCATAATATTTATAGAAATACAAATCATTGACATTGATATCTAATTATTCTCTATAAAGTTTGAATAATACATGGTTTGTAAGTTATAAAACAATATTAATAGGTATATAAATTATATTAACCGTATCCATAATAATATTTGAATTCAAAAGTCTTCATGGTATATACGTTATATCATAAAAATATACAAATGACTACTTAATTGTTAATATTCTATAATAATATGTGATATGTAAATTAGATCTTACTTAAAAGACGTATATACATAATATACATAATGTTAATTACATCGTGTAAATAATAATAGATTTCAAAAGTACAAATAGAATATATGTTATAACCGTATATTGTATATATGGGAATATATGAGAATATATCGTATATGAGAATATATTGACTGAAGCAGCATATATTGTAAATATTAGAATATATTGTATATGTGGTATATATCTTATACATAATTCTAGCTATTTTATTTACCTATGAGACCATCATGGATCTGGAGGAGTGAATTAAGGGATTGGTGTTGAAAATTTATACGGGGTCCACAATAATTAAAAGAATATGATTAAAATTATGGAATTAAATATTTTAAATTTCAAAATAATAAAAAACTACCGAAGATATTATCTCTTGTTTTATTTGTTCCCAAAATTTCTATACAATTGTGAGGATGTTCCCGAAAAAGAAAAACAAGAAACAAAGTTAAGTTGTAAATTGTTTAGATTTCTTAAGAAAATTAGAAACGAGAAACAAGAAACGAAAACGTTACCAACAATAAGTCAATCCAATCCAAACTCAAATCTTCGCCCCAAAAACACTCTTTAGATTCTTTTATTTTACTTTTCATCAATATTTAGTTTTGAGCTTAAAAAAACGATAATAACTACACATTTCCTTTTTTGTTTAGTTTTTTCACTTTTCAGTAACACTTGAAATAAAAAATGTTACTGAATGGTTACTTGTAGTTTTTGACCTTGACATAGATTTGAATTAATTTTTAGTTATTTTTAAAAAAATTTAAAAATATCCTTCCAACTTTTTCTATGGTTTCAATCATCCTCTCAGCCAACATTTTCTTAAAATCCTTTCTTTTTTCTTTTTTTTTTTTAACTTGAAAAAAAAATCCTTATTTCAACTTTTGTCCTTTAAATAATATGTGGAATTTGAGTTTTGTCCCCAAATTCTATACAAGGTAGAAATTTTGTGCATAAAAATATATATGAACTATATATTTTACATTGTTGGAAATGAGACCAAAGTCCTACGTTAACTAAATAAGGAAAACATCATGAATTAACAATATTTTTATTGGTATAAAAGCCTTTTGTATGAACTAAAAATAAAGATGTTATGCCTAAAACAGACAATATAATATCATTGTGAAAATTCTCAAAATATTTGAGATATCATTTTCAGATAAATGAAGTTAGTATGAAAAATAATTTTGAAATAACATGATTAAAAAGTTTGAGGGGTATATATAAATTTTGGGTTATAAACGTACTTTTAGTAATGGTTCACTTCGGTCTCTTTATTTTTAAAATGTTCATTTTTGTTATATAATTTAAATTTTTGTCCTTTTTAATTTTTTTTAGTAATTTTTTATAACACAATCAATATGTTTTAGTCGTTGCCTAAAGCATAGACTTTAATTTCTCATATGAGCACAAAACACATTCAGATGAATTTTCAACAATTAAAACCATTCATTTCATGTAAAATTGTTCAAGAAAATCATGATCAACAACCTATCAACCCAGAAAACAACTTTGTTGGTATAATGTGAAAGATAAAACTGTATCTATTCCTCAGAAATTTAATCATAGACATATGATTAAACAAAAAAAAACATGCTTAACAACAATTTCTCAGGCAAAGTCATGCTTTAATACTACTCGTTAAAAAATGTGTTCTTTTAGAGATGGTTAAAAAATGCTTAAAGCTTGATTCATAATTATTCAAGAATTATCCTTAAAAAAAATAGAATTCTTTAGGTTTATGTTATTGGGCCACAAAAATAGTCTTGACACATGGAGGACAGAGAAAGACAAGGTCTTCCTTCAATACCACCTGAATGTCTTTCCTAAATATCGTCCTTCAAGGGAAGAACCACTTTTCATACTTAGCCAAATACTGCTGCAAGAAAAGATCATATAGCCTAATTGATTGCAAGTTGAATAGGCTATGATCCTGCGAATTACTCCTGTCAAAATAAAGAAATCATATTGAAGGGCTGGCCGAGGTTGTGTTCTTCCGAGCGGATGAAGTCGGCTCGACTCATCCAAAATATGTATCTCATTTATGGATATTTAACATAGTTCGACGAATGAGTGAATGCTAAAATAGGGAGTATGGGTCTTAAACGTGGTGAGACAAGTAGATCCTTAAGCATAATGAAAGTCTCCCTATCTAGAACATGGACGTCCGACAAGATGATCTTTGACACGATATATCCAACTGTCGGTCGAATCCCCTTGTCTCAACCTATAAATAGTACACTTCACCCCTGTATCATGTATCGTATTCTAGTAGCTCGATCTCCAAACTAAGATCTAACTTAAACTTGATTTGAATATCAAAATATTTGTTATCTTGTACAGGTCCTCCTCGCAAGACAACATCCAAGTTCTTTCCAATATACCTTCGTCGGGTCGATCTTGATTGGCTTTTGGTACACAAACGTATTTGATTCTTTAGAAAGTAAAATTCGGTGAGTCTCTCCAACTTTCCACTTCATTTGATAATAATCGCATTGAAAAAATAAAAACAAAAATGGCCTAATGGGCCGGCTAGTGTTCCTTGTTGGCCCAATATAAAATAAAAGACATTTTTACTACACTTAATTGTAGAAGCTTCTGTGCTCAAATCGTTCGTCCTACCCGCTACTTTCTCTCTCTCTCGTCGGACTTTTCTGAGCGCAGTGTCTTCTGATCTCGATTTAATCGGAAATTTTTACCAATTCCGCCGGAGTTTGTGGTACGTGATTGTCGATATCATCCAGGATCGCATTTTCTCTTCAATCTACCTCTCCAGATTCGGAGTAAAATCATTTTTCTTCGTCTCCTTGGGCGCATGATCATCTAGGGTTTGATCTCTCTCTGTCTCGCTAATTTTTAATTCTCTTAATCCAAGGAATCGTTTGATTGTATTCACTTTCTGTGTTATCGTAAGTTTTGGATTGAATGTTAATTTTACACCTAGCATTTTCGTTGGGCAACTCGGTGGATGGAAATGTAAATGTCTTTGAAACTGGGAAATGTACGAACTTCTCTTCTACTATTAGAAATGTGATTTTCGTTCCCCACTTTTGTTTTTCTTTTTTTTTCCAGTTTATGACATTTTCTGCTTTAGAAGGTTTTGTTTCCTGTTATTATTGACGTTTTCTAGTTTTAATAATTCAAATATTTTACTGATTGTTGCTGATTGTGTTTAGTAGATCAAATTATATGGTTCTCGAGGAGTACTTATAAATTATGATGGCATTACAATGATCACTGCAGGGTTATAAGTTCCAGCGTTTTTTCTTTTCTTTAATCATCGTTGAAATGGTCGTTTTATGTTTATTTATACAAGAAACACAAATATGATTATGGAGAATGTAAATTATGCCTACGACTTTTTATATGTTCAAATGTAATTCATATGATTTTCTAGGTGTTATTTGTTATTCTCTACTAGAATGTGCTGCCTCCCTCCCCTTGTGAAAATTTCCATGACAAATATGATTCTGTTTTTCAATCTAATTTCAATTGCAATATTATCCTTCCTTCAGGATTGTTCAAAATGTGTTGTTCTGACTAGGAGGCATTGTGATTTTTTTTATCGTTGCAGGATCGAATCCATACTCTCTTCGTATACTTCTGTCAGGAAAATGACATGGGAAGAAATTTTAAAGGTGATTTTCCCTTTGCTGGAAGGTGTGGACCTTGCTTCATGTATGGCAGTGTGCAAGCAGTGGAGAGACATAGCTCGAGACGATTACTTTTGGAAATGCTTGTGTGCCAAGAGATGGCCTTCAACCTGCAAAAGGCCAGATCCTCCGACCCGTACCTACTATAAACTATACCAAGATTTCCACAAAGGCCACCAACGTCGAATTCTTCTCCCTCCTCGACTTTCCTTCGATGATTTAGAGTTTTATATTGACATTTGGAGCGAAGACAGCTTAATCTTCTCAGAAGTGGTCCCAGGCCAAGTCCTCCAGGCTGGTATCAAGGTGCCACCACCTGGTACTAGCAATGTGCTTAGATGTCACCTAGAAGCCCCCGAGTTCAAGATGACGCTACTCGTCGAGCCGAGGTTCACAATTCCCTTGTGCCATACTGTGAGCGTATCCGTGCTTGTGGGACGCAAGGATTCCAATAAAGTTGCTCGGATAGTCAATAAATCTGTATTTGATTACATTGATCGAACATCATACAGGGCATTGGCTTTTGACTACCTTGATTTTTCGCCTCTCCACCCCTTTGTCTCCGGGATCCGAGCATGGATCTCGTTGCTTTTCTTGGACGATGGAAATGATGGTGTACTTGATGTATTTGGAATAGTAATGGATTTCAACGATGCTGCAAACTCGAAGGATGAGGTATTATGGCTTCTCGACTTGCTTGATTGGAAATGAAGAGTTGACATTTTCGTGCAAAAGAAAATTGAAGAAGAGCCTGGGCACCACGTGGGGGGGTCGCCAAGTATGATACTCTCACAACCGTGGCTGGAAACCTCGCTCCGAGTTTCTGGTACCAATCTATTACCTGTTATCATTTGTTCATTGTCAATGTACATAATTTTTCAGTTGCTTTCATCAATAAATATGAAGAATGTTAATTTTTCTAGAACTTGCATTTTGTTTCCATAGTTCATGTGAGTCACCTGCATTTTGATCCAGACTAGAAAGCCAATTCGTCTATTTTGCTATCGCTAGTAGAAATTAGTGGTATATGTGAAGTCTTATTTCCATAGCAATGAAGAGCTACTGAACTATGTTTAGGTTGGCAAATAGCTACTTAGTTGTATTAGATTTCATAAATAACATCTCGACTAAATTGATCTCCAGTTGTTTTGTCATTGGGACACGCCTTTTTTTATCTACTATAGGTGTCAATCTCCCTTCATGGCATGTCAAAGCTTGTGACTTGTATTGGTAAGCAATTGCATGAGCTTGGTTATTGCAACTTCCTTTGCGAGGAGGCGTCCCTCCTATTCTAAAGCTAAAGCTATTTTGTCAAGTTTGTTAGAGAGAGTTGTCTCATAACTCTACGCATTCTTTGCAAAACCAATCGTGTGAATATTGAACATATGTGCTTTTTGGTTGAAGATCATTTGAGCATTTCTAAGAGTATGGCATTGGTTATTTTGGCCTTGATAACCATTTTGGTTTTCTGTTTTGATTTCTATTTTTTTTTTTCAAAAACAAAAATCATGTATTTTTTGTTCGTTTAAAAAAAAATCAGGGAACCGAACATGTTTGGCAATTGGTTCTCTTTTTTAAAAAGTTGGATAGAGAAAAGATTTGGTAGAGAGAGAAAAATATGCATATGTATGAGACAAAACTTTAAAACAACGTTATTTTTAAAATAAGTTTGGGGTTCATAATATGTTAAAAAACAGTTTTTATGTTTAGTAATGCTTTTAAAAAATGTCCCTACAATTTTCATCTCTTGAATATAAATTTTTTATATCTCTAGAATTTTTATTTCTATATATTTTCATCTTTTTTTTTTAACAAATCTCTCACTTTTCTCTTTATTTTCTCTCTAAAAAGTCTCCCTTTTTTAACGTTCGATGCTACATCATTGACTTTTCAAAAAAGTTTCAAAAATACTATTTAAACAAACATTAATTAATATTTTGAACGGAAATTTTACATAGTAGAATATGAAACAACCTAGCAATATGAAAGAAGCTAAGGAGATTAGGATAAAATTGGGTAGATGAAGAATCAAACTCTCATCTTTCGACAATGTATAAAAAAGACTTTTCAGTGCAAAATTAAAATATTAATTACCACATAATTTAATATTCTATCACGTAAACTTTTCCTTTAAAATATTAGCAAAAGTCTTGCTTAAAGATTATTTCAAAAACATTCACTAAAAGTCAGAAGTATAGTATTGCAATTCAGGAAAGAAAAAAAAACAAAGAAAAAACATTTTTATTCATAGATTGGTGACCTAAATACAAGGGGAAAAGAAAAAAAGGAAAAAAGACTTAAATCTTTTTTGTTTTCTTTTTTCTTATTTAAGACTAGAGTCTATAGACCTAAATCTAAATGGGACCCACTAGAAATTTGCCCTCCCTTCAAAGGTCTGCCCGAACCGCCAATCGCCGGGCACAACTCCGTCGAGTTGAATCGTTTTGGAATCGCTGGTGGTGACTCGGAACGACAAGCTCCGCCCCACCAATCGCTCTCCGGTCGCCCAATTCTGCCCCCAATTCCTCCTCATCTGAACCCACTCGCCTCCGGATCCTCTGATCTTGACGTCGGCCACGTCGCCGGCGCCGCCCACGTTGAACACCAGCACCAGCAGCCAGTACGGGTTTCCGGCGAGTTTGAACTTGACGCCGCAGCGCTTCCAGCAGGGGATCCGGCGGTAGCTGACGGGGATGACGCCGGCCCGGTAGCGGGCGATTCTGGTGAACATGTACTGGGAGAGATCGAAGTGGCGCTGCGGCGGATTGCACCAGATGTCGTGGGTTTTCGTGTAGTTTGGGGGGCAGAAATTGGTGGCCGTGATTTTTATGCTGCCGGCGCGTGGAATACACGACTGAGGCGCGTCCACGCACCGTATTTCGAAGCACGCGCCGCACGCCGCGCCGTTGTTGAATAGCGCCGTGCTTAGCGCCGCTGTTCGCAGGCCGTACCCTTGCTCGAATAAGTTTCCGTACCCGCAAGCTCCCTCTGTTCAAAAATAAATAAATAAAAAGGAAAATTATACTAAACAAAATAAATATGTATATATAAAAATACATATTCTTTTGTGCTATTTTTATAATTTCTTCAAAAAAAATGGCAAACAAATCTCTTAACCAGTGATTAGGATTACGAGGTTCGAACAAAATAAACAGCCAAATAGTTGTATTTGTTAAGGAATATTTCGATCAAAAATAGTGGATTCGAATCAATATTGTTGTAATAAAAAATAATAATAAAATGGATCATTTCTCTTTATTTATAATATAAGTTTAAATATTATTTTAATCTTTATATTTTCAACTTTTGTTTATTTTCATATTTATTTTCAATTTTTTTATTTCAATCTTGTACATTTAAAATATTTGTTTAGTTTACGTACTTTTGAAAAATGACCATTTTAGTTCTTTAGTATAAAAGAATAATAATAACAATAACAAATTTTATACATATTAAAACCTTTTAATACAAAGTTGCGATTATATTTCAAAAATTTTATTGAGAATGGTGTAGTGTTTGAACTATTATCCAAAAAATAAAAAATAAAAGGACTAAAAAACGTTCACATTAATTATATATATATATATATATGCGCGTGTATAAATATAATTAACAACAAAAAGAAATGATGTGGTTCTGCTACTGTCAACATTCCAATAGCTAATTAAGTAGAAGTAGTATTTGAAAGTATTATATTTGGTATTTTATTTATTGAGTTCCATATAATTACTGGTGCCTGATTAGTTAAATTACAAGTTTTTCTGAAATGCATTGTAAGATCTACTTAATAAAATAATATATAGGAGTTTTAATTATAAAATAATTTCATACTATTTTTTATCTTTACTATCATTTTGAAAGTAACGCATGACTCGCTAAAATGATTTAATAGTAAAATTACGTTAACGAGCATATAATGATCTTAATATTATAGAATGATCAATTAGTGGATGGATATTTTTTTATTTTGATTTTTGAAAACAACATATCCATAAATATGACTAACCAAGAGTTCTACAACGTTAAAAGATTTAAGATCAACCAATAAAAAGAGTCGAAAGAAAGAAAAGCAGACATAGTGTTAGATCATTATACAAAATAGCTCGTACATGAGTTAGGCAGCGTCTAATTAAACGAGAAAAAAAGGAAGTATTTCTTACGCATAGTTTCAGCACCACTCATATCACCGTAGAATGTGGCACGACCATCGTACCAAGTCGTGTCTATGCTTTGATAACCCAATGGGACTAGTCTAGAGCCCATGGCTTGGACAAAAATGGCCAAAAATGGCAAGCAAAGAAGCAAATTGTTTGATGGATTGGCCATTTTTTCCTTTTTCTTTTTTTCGTTTGTTGGAGAAAGTAATGATGGGAAGTGGTGATTTCATAGGGAAGAAATTGAATTTAAAATGGGAAATTAAATTGGTTTTCCTTATTGGTTTATAATTCAATGTGGGCAGACAAAATTAGGGAAGGAAGAGAAAGAAAGATCCCATGCTATTTAACGGAAGAAGGAAACAAAATAAATACAAACGACGAGAAAATGTAAATGCACGTTAAGTATAACGTCCGTTCAATTGGTTGCTGCCGTTAAAATTATAATAATAATGAAACGGAATCAACTTTTACTTTTTTTTTCCGAAGTGCAATTAATTTTTATCCCTAAATTTTAGAAATGGTATCGGTTTTCATACTAAACTTTCACTTCACGAGAGTGGGTTTTTAGCCCATATTAATATAGTTAAGCGATAATTGACATGTATTTCTTCTCTCGAGGTTAAAAAAAAAAAAGAGATGGATGATTTTGAACTAAGATGAGTGTCGTAATTTTTACCCTTTATTCAATTTTTAACAATTTACTCACTAATTTTAAGCAAAAAAAAAATTGTAAAGAAATTCTAAAACTGAGTTGGTATGATAACATTCATGTTTCTTAATTTTTGTTTCTTGTTTCCAGATTTTGAGAAACATAAGCGTTTGGTACTACTCTTGTTTCTTGTTTTCTATGTCTAAGAAACATTTCCTATTGATGCGCAAATCTGGTTCGATCAATTGACCAAATATCACATAAAAAAGACTCAATGTTGACTTGCAAAACAAAGAAGATTGAACATCAATGCACTGCTAGCCACAAGTACTTTGATACTTAAGTAGAATCAAAGGTTAAAGAATCATGTAGTTTAGGAAATCTAGTTACTTAGACTTTGGAGGTAGCATTCTCGTAGGTCAAATGTAAGGAGAAAAGACAGTCGACTAGTTACCGAACCTCATTGACTGGGCACGGGGCTCGTCCTTTAGGATGCCAAATTACATTCCCAAGTCAATTTTCACAACGGACCTGGGGTACGTTGACTTCCTAGACCGGGTTCACAAGGGCGAGCTGAATCTCTTCATCCTGAAAGGATCGGCAACTTTGACCAAGGAGTCTTCAAGGGCATTTTGGGAAACAACACCAGTGGGTCCATCCTCACTACCCCATTAACAAGGACAAGTAAGTTCCGAGACACGTGTCATCCCAGCCCCTCTTTTTTCTTTTTTCTTTTTTTTTTAGCAATCTTTTTTTAGGCTGTGATTCTGAACGTCAAATTGCTTTGCCTCTGCCTTCTGATCTGATGGGTTCAGTTCCAACTTCCAAGTCATAAGCTAATTTTCACTGTTCCATCACCCCTTATTACAATTTTTGCTGATGCAACTTAAAATATTGGGTTATTGCACTCCCTCAACTTATGTGTGGGATAAATCTGACCAAATCTCCAAGCGTCAGTTCGGCGAGGATGAGCCAAATAGCAAGTTCCAGATGCCGTACAGAAGACCTACAAAACAGAGTAGAAACTCCGATGCTTAAGTTAACAAGTGCTCAAGTCAATTCGAGAAAGAATTGGTATTATTGCGTCCGTCGAAATGGAGCAAAATGATCTTATTTATAGGCCAGAAACCAGACAGGATTCCCAACAGGATCTCAACGGCTCTTTAAGATTACCGTGTAATACACGTGCTGTCGTGAAATTTGTCAGACGAAGGACCGAGCCGAGATAACCCAAGTCACACATTTGGTCGGCTCGGCCTTAATAGTTGCTCGGCTCGATCATGAGATATCATGGCTGAAGCAAATCAAATAAAAGGACATGTCAATGGCTGCTGTTCCAACCATAATATGGCACGTGTAGGCTAATAACTCACCTCCAACATTATGTTTCTTAGAAATGTACTGTTTCAAGATCACTTTACCCAATATGTCTATTTCAGTCTTATTGGTTTTCATATTATTGACTAATAAAACAGCACGGTACCGAGCTCAAGAACATGTGAACTAAGCCTTGTGGATGATCGAGGATTGAAGGTCTGAAATTATGGACACCGGGCAAAGGCATACCAGGCTTGATAATGACTAAAGATCATTGACGACTGAGAAATAGCACTAAACAATAAAAGGCTAAAAACTTCTTTTTACCCTGTCTTCTCCCAGGCTTACTAACACCTTTAAGATAAGAAATAGGAAAGAAAAAAAAAATAAAGACAAATTTACTTACACCTTAGCTAATCTTATCTTAAGAGCAACTAATCTTAGAGATATGGCTATCATGATGTTTAAACATCATGCTCCAGCCAACTCCAGAATGGTTGGAAGGGGGATTAACTTTGAGCCACTTCAAAGTTAGAATTGTGATTCTTATAAGGCCAAACAAGCAAGAATTCAATATGGAGTAGGAAAATATTTGAAACAGAAAAGCATATTCAGAATCTCATAGGTAGAAAGCCACTATAACAGCAAAAATACCTTCATCTAATGAATCCGAGGACAAACAGAAGAAAATATTAGAACAATAGTATGGAAATTGCAAGTTGTTCTTCAGAAGATAACTTAAATCAATTTATACAAATTAGTCATCTGCAAAAATAAAGACATCAGCCGTACTTCACTTCTAGCAAGCATGCTACAGACAGTCATTATTTACAAGAATCGCTGTCCGCTCCAAGTTGATTCCCGAATTTTCGCAATGCAATCGAATAGACGGTTTTCCTACTTGCTGATGTTTTGCTAGCAACCAATTTGACAGCCTTCATCCAAATAAAGTTTCATCACAACCAAGAATTCAGCGCAGAGTTTAAACCTTATTTTGATCTTGAATTTCCAAAACATCTCTTTTTAGTCTCAAAATTTTAACAAAGTAAGAACTTTTGTCTTTACCACCTAATATTTGACTCAAACACCCACCTTAGTTAGCCTATATGCCTTCAATACATATTCACATCAGTATATTACCACGCATATTCTAACTCACTCCATCCATCTATTGAATAATTAACAGCAAAATAATAGCGAGAACAAAGTTGAAGAACTACCCTACATGTAAAGTAAATTTAAAAGTTAAGGACCAGAATGAGGTTTAAACCAATATTTACTTACGGTAAAACACTCATTTTGTCCATTAGGTTTAGCTTATGCTTTCCTTTAATGATAAGATCTACCGAGCCTCTAAAAGGGATTACCGCTCATAAAATTCTCTATTATTCTATAGTCCAGTTTAAGCCCTTACCATAGAAAGCCTATGGCCACTAGAGATCAATTCTTGCAACTCCTTTTCCAATTGCAATTCTGATGGAGCTTCAACTCCAGAATCTAGCTTTCCTTCAATCAACAGCGTAATTTCGCCCTTTGTTTGGTGCAACGAGAAAAACTCTTTAGCTTCAGCCAGTGTGCCCCGCCAAAACTGTTGACATCATTATACTTGTTACTAAGTAACACAACGAGGATGTGAAATGCATAATTTGAGTTATTACAAATTACATTATTCAAGGATATCTATAATTATTACAATTATGTATCCACCACAAACGACGTCACATAATGGTAGTTTAATGATTGAAAGAAAGTAGATTGGAGAAAAAATCAACTACAAATATAAGGCCATTCATCATACATGTTCTAAATGACAGTATGGACCCAACTCCCCCAAGTGCAGCAATCAAATCTTCCAAAAGAAAAATATTATGACAATATATTTCACAATAATGATGAAATTGAAAATTCAATGTACGCTTTCTAGCTTTTGGATGAGAAACTAAAGTATTTTCTATTTAAAGTAATTAGAGTACCAACAAGGAGAGAGGAAGCCTAGGTTCATATAACAGGTGAAACAAAAAGATTAGGAATAACATATTACAAACAACCTTCAGGCAGTTATTGATTTTCATACCCAAAATACACGAAAATCAACTTTTGCAGTTGCAATTACAACCAATCACATTTACGGTGAGCAGCCTGTTCCAAAGCATCTAGTTACTGTACGTAAATACACGTTTAGCAGCCATTTAGGTAATATCTTGTTACTCCACCAAATAACATAATTATTTACTTTTACTATTATTTGATGCTTAAAACTTATAAAATCATATTTTGAGAATTAAAAATTGAAGGAACTCAAAAGAGCACATAAGAAATTGGTTGAACGATATCATATAAGGGCATTACGAAACAGTGCACAGAAGAAATTTTTTGATGAATGGAATATGATGCTCGCCAGTTAGCAAGGGTATTGGAAATCCTGCCAACTAGAGATACCAAAACAGAGCGACAGAGTGAAGTTACCTCCTCATGTATCTTTGTCATTTCACGAGCTATAACACATCGTCTGCAAGACCATTATAGAAACAGATAAAATCACTAAGTTGGCAAATAAGCAAACCAACTACTAACAGAAGACAAGTCTGATCCTCCATTAAAGAAATAGTTTCAGACTATCTGAATCTAAAAGCACATGTACAATATTATAGAACATAGTTACTGGAAAGAAACACACAAACGAGCTGCTATAGTTATACAATGTAACACATACGAAGAATGTCATTAGTAACTGAATTATGTAGATTGAAGCAGAAGCGAAAGTGGAACTGCACTGATACATTAGACTTTGAAAGAAATATTAGTACAATAGATTGGATATAGACATATACAAAGTACCTTGATTCACCAAATAATGATAAAGTTTCCTCGAGAAACTGCTTAAGTTTATGAGGGGGAACATAGAATATTTGAGTTGCTTCCTCATTTGCTGAAACCGTCAGCCTCTCTCTTCTGGATGCAGAATGCTTCGGAACAAATCCAACTGTACAGATATTTTTTTTTTATACGAAACAATGGGATTGTATACAAAATCAAAAGAAGCCCGGAGGCAAACAGAACAGCCTAGTGGCAGAGGGATCCAACTGTACAGATATAAATAATATTAATAAATTGTAGAGTGCCTACAGATAGTAGCCATAGAGCCAAATAGCTCAAAGAAAGATGTCCTAACAGCACAACTACGAAAATTGATAAGAAATTTACCAAATGTGAACTCATCGGTTGACAAGCCAGAGGCAGAAAGAGCAGCAACTACAGCGGAGGGCCCAGGAATGGGAACAACAGGTATGTCTTCATTGACACATAATTTAACCTGTATTCACATGGTCCAATTGTATTAATAACATCAATATCATCCATGATTAAACCATTAAAATACTGGGAGGACAATCATGCGGTTTCAATTTTTTATGAAATGCTAATGTAATCTATCAATGAATCAAATTGAAAATGAGCCCAATAAATGTAGATCTTAGAAGTGATAGATTCTTAACAGAACAATCAAGAAAGAACCGAATTAAAATTGCTTAGCATGCTCACCAACTCACTACCAGGATCACTAATGCCTGGTGTCCCTGCATCACTAATTAGGGCAACAATTTCACCCTGCTTTAACCTCTTCAACACTGATTGCTCTCTTTGAGACTCATTGAATTTGTGAAAGCTCAGCTGAAATCTAAAATTCTTTATCAGAACAAATGAAGGAGCAGAATAAAACTATTATATGAGTAAACAAAAGACTTTGCATACTTACAAGGGGGGTTCTAATATTGAAATGATGAAGCAACTTTCCTGAGTGCCTTGTATCCTCTGAAAGAATGACGTGTGCTGATTTTAAGACACGTATAGCACTGCATAACAGAATTTTAAAGATTGACTATTCAGAATAAGCAGAACAAAAAAAACATGGTTGCAAACTCGTCAAATATTGACCAATATAAAGGAAAAGTTCCAGAAATTTACAGACTTAACATCCTACTTGAGGGAATGACTCAGTTAGAAATTGCACAAAACAGAGTCTATTCTCCAAATTATGGGTTTAAATATATTATGAAAAAAAAAGAAGAGAATAATGTTTGTGCTGGTTGTCAAACTTTAATTACCGTAGGGTGATATCTTCAAGATTACCAATTGGCGTCCCAACCAGATACAAGCCAGGTTTCAGGGGACCCTGGAAACACGTAGAGACAAAGGCAAGGATGCCAGTAAAAGTTCAAAAACTACACATCCTAACCATGAAAAACTGATATAATACAGCTCATATTTTCATCTTACGATTTTTTTCTTTAGTACAATGAGTGAGAAGGGAGGATTGGAACTCATGACCTCTTGGTCAGAGACAGGTGTCAATTACCGCTGAGCTAAGCTCATGTTGGCTTCATCTTACCATTTATGAAGCGGCTATAACGTAAATACTGAACCGATACCAAGTACAACAGAGATTATAAGCCTTGTAGTTAAATCAAATAGAAGTGCCAGTAAGAGAAGTAGTCTAAGTGAAGCCACAACAAAACATGCTAATTTCCAAGCCCAAGCAACTCTCTGATGCCATTTCTATTAATATTCGTAATCACTAATGGGTTTGTGCTAATTTTCAAGTTCACGACGGAGAGAAGAACTTGAGCTTTGGGTTGAGTTCTGGGTTCTGAGTAATTAAACAATAGCCTTACAGTAACAGTTCTAAAGAAGGAAAATAATCTAAAATTATTGATCTTACGCGCTTCGAGGATTCTTCAGCCTGAACTGAATCTGCAACTTCAGAGGATAATTGAGAAGCAGAACAAAGGGATACTAAACAAGTTTTAGGGCAAAATGAGTGGGAATCAAGCGCCGTCCTCGCATTGATGCAATGGGAAGGACCACGACGCCATGGCACAACTTCCGGGAGATGAACTGCCATGGAAGGAATTCGTCTGGCCAACATATCCGCTTCCCTCCGTCGCTCTATTCGCCGGAGCAGGCGGATTTTAACTGAGGCGACGGTGGAAGGAATAAACTGTACAGATTACACAAAACTATCAACAATTACACCACGGCCGCCGAAAAACCGCCAATTCGTGAAACATTCGACACTCTTTGAAATATTTCTGAAAACGTTGATAATTGAAAAAATAAATTAAATCTCATTTTGTTATAAACTTTCGATATATATATTTATATTTTTGTCCATAGTTTCTAAAATGAAAAGTAACTATTATTTTTCTTTTTTTATTTTAATAAATTAATAACATGCTTCGAAACTGATACGATGGTGCGGGATTTAAACCCTCGGACCTTAAATAAAGTAATAGGTGTCAATTATTACTGAATTATGTTTATGTCGATGTCGTCATACTTATAGTTTGATTAAATTATACTTCACATTTTTATTGATATTTTTAGGCAAACATGAGCTTTTAAATGATACCTACCGGCTTTCTTGAGATTGGATGTTCAACTTATCTTACTTCATATTTGTTGTAGTAAAAACAAAAACAAAAATATATATTTTTGTACTTATAAAGAGTTGGGTTTAGTAATCCATACGGCAACGAAAAGATTATTACATCACACAAAATAAATGAAATTTTATATCAGCTAGTCAATCAAAGCATAACTCTATTAGTTAGATAATAAAGTAGCATTATGTGTGATAAGAGGTTCAAATATCGAGGTAAGGGTATGATAACTTTTCGAAGTAAGGGCATGACATTCTAAATAGGAAAATCAAGTTATGACGTTCAAAGTTAGTCGAAAGATTATTTAGATGAGCAATCAAACACACATACCTTGAGTATACCGACTGCTTCCCTATTTATGGGGTCCACTTAATGATTGTTATACACTAATTATAGTGTGCGTTTGGAGACACAATTAATAGAAGTTTGACCTTTAAACACATTAGCTCGACCATGATCACTTCCAAGATAATATTGTAATATGAGGTCTTACTCCTAATCCTTCTTACATTGATGCCGCGTGGATGGTCACCTCACATTAGCCAACATATGGACTACAAAAATATATACCATCAAAGACAAAAATTTTATTGAAAAGGAGCATGTCTCCATGCTCATTTAGCTAATTTTAATGTCTTAATACCAAGTTACGTTCATCCCACTCAAAATCAAACTAAATATTTATCGACATATCGATATTTATATGTGTTAATAGATTCAACATCAAAATTAGAGTTAAATCTACATTTTCAAGCATCGCAAAAAATCAACAAATATATGATATTGTTTAGAAATGTTGAGTCGGCTAATTTAAATATTTTTCAAGATTTTTTTTCGGTTACCTTTTTATGGAACAATGAACCATCAACATTTTTTTTTCCAGTAATGAAAATCCCAACTCATTAACTTAAATTAAATTAAAACAAAACTCACGACAGTATTGGAGGCAGACCAAAAAAAAAAAAAGCAGCTCATAAATTTGGGGGAAGAAACAGCTGCCGAGCGCATTTAGGGGGCTTCTTGCTATTCAAGCTTTCTTCCTCTCTGTTCGCCTCATTGTTCAGAACTTCACTCTCAAGTCTCAACTTTCCTCTTCTCTCTCTCAGCAGCGGCGGCGCCGCCCTCGTTTCGCGACGGTAGTTCCTCACCCACCAGATCTGTTCAACTGTTGAGGGCATTTAGGGCGTCTTGTTCTACAAGTTTTCCTAGAATAATCGATTCCGGCTCCGAGCTGCTCCGCAAAAAAATGGCCGACGGAGAAGAAGCAGCGCGCCGCCATGCGGCGGTCAATGACTACCGCAAGAAACTCCTCCATCACAAAGAGTTCGACTCTAGAGTCCGATCTGGTAATTTAAAATATACTCTCGTCTCGTACTTTCTGAATTCCGGGTTTAGTCGTCTCGAAGAATTTGTACTGATTTGAGTAGTAATATGTTTTGGATTTTCTGCAATGGCCACTCCATAGACTCTGAGATTGCAGCATATTACAATTTAGAAGCCCTAGGGGTTCGTAGAAGGAAAAACACCTTTTATGGAGTGCAAGTGTTTGAAGGTGGAGTGTGATGTGATATAGGTATTGAGAAGAAAGAGAAAGTAGACAACTTTGGAAACGATCATTATGGAAAATTGGAAATTATATAACTTCGTGTGAGTTTGATACTTTGTAGGAAGTCATGGGAAATGGGTTGTTTTCTTGATGTTTAGTATTGATAATTTATCCTTGCTCCATTTCCATATTGCTTACAGCGTGAGTTTGTAAGTTGGTATTTCGTAATGTCATGAATGGTAACAGAAGCTGCAATTCTTATTTATTTTGAGGAATCTAGTAAGAATGTAAGATTACGTTTAATTTGTGATTTGCAGTGAGGGAGAGTTTACGAGCTGCAAAGAAGGAATTTAACAAGACGGAAGACGATTTGAAATCTCTTCAAAGTGTCGGGCAAATTATTGGAGAAGTTCTCAGGCCACTTGACAATGAACGATGTACTTTTCGTTTTTCCTTGTATTTCTTTTGATATGGAAATTCTCTTGAATTGGTTGATAATGTTGGAGTCATGCCCCTTTTGTGATTTCAGTGATTGTAAAAGCAAGTAGTGGACCAAGATATGTGGTTGGATGCCGCAGTAAGGTGGATAAGGAAAAATTGACGTCTGGTACTAGAGTAGTTCTTGATATGACAACACTCACCATTATGAGGGCTCTTCCACGTGAAGTAAGTTAGATTAATTGTTTATTCTCAATGATATTAAAGGAAAAGAAGAAATATGTAGTGTCCTCTAGGCTTTAGTGCGTGATTGCCCTGAATTTTTTTATTTCATTTGATCTGATAGGTAGATCCAGTTGTGTATAATATGTTGCATGAAGATCCTGGAAATGTTAGCTATTCTGCTGTGGGTGGGTTATCTGATCAAATTAGAGAATTGAGGGAGTCTATTGAGCTACCTCTCATGAATCCGGAGCTTTTCCTCAGGGTTGGCATCAAACCTCCCAAGGTACTCTCACTCTATCTATAAAGCATACGGTTGATGAGTCTTCCAAATTGTTGTTTTGTAGTTAACAGTATTTGCACTATCTATCTCTTGCATTATACTGGATACTTCCTCCCCTTTTGCTCACATTGTTTTTTTCCCTTCCATTTAAAGGGTGTGCTTCTATATGGTCCCCCTGGTACTGGCAAGACATTGTTAGCAAGAGCAATTGCAAGCAACATAGATGCCAACTTCTTGAAGGTAGAATCTTCTCTGTGTACTGTAATGACTTTAACCTTCCTCTCCTCCCCAACTAAAATATAACTACAAGCTTATCTCTTCTCTTTATTGAAGCATAGGTCGTATCGAGTGCCATAATTGATAAGTACATCGGAGAAAGTGCAAGGTTAATCAGAGAAATGTTTGGATATGCACGCGATCACCAGGTAAGCTCTTTGTCCTTCTCTTTCTATGATTCTATACAGAATGAGTGATTCGTAATTCACACTTCATTATTTTCTGTGCTTAGCCCTGCATAATTTTTATGGATGAGATTGATGCCATTGGTGGGAGGAGATTCAGTGAGGGTACAAGTGCAGATCGTGAAATTCAGCGAACGTTGATGGAGTTACTTAACCAGCTCGATGGTTTTGATCAGCTTGGTAAGGTATGTCTGGATTTTCTGACCCTTAGTTTTGTGGGAAAATGCCGTTCTCGTGGATATCTATATTCCAACCTTTGTCTTAAAATTAAAGGTATATTTGGATATTCAGATATCCAGAGGATGCTAAGAATGTTATCCAGATACCTAACAATATAATGGGTGTTTTGAATTTTTATCTCATGGGAATCTGACAATGACATTTTTGTCCTGACATTTGTTATTCAGATATCCACGGATACCTGTGAACATTGGTGTCCAGGTACTCATCTAAATGATGGGTGTTACAAATTTTCATCTCATAGTTGATCTCTACAATATTTATATGATTTCTCTTGTTTATATATAGTAAAGATTGTACTCTCTTCTCCGTATACTGAATGTCCAAGGCGGTGGAGATGAGGAGGAATATCCTCCTTGCAGTTACTAGTGAGGGATGTAGAGCAAACAAAAATGGAAGTCGTTAGCCATATACCAAGAATTTGTTCATCGTTTTTCTAATTTTGCCTTTATCTTTGCCGTGTGATTTTTATGAGGTCATACAATTAGCAAAGACAGAAAAATAAGGTCTTGGACCTTGTTACTGGCAATGTTACGACTTAATTATTTGTCAGATGAGTCTCGTTTCTTTTATTCTGAATCTTTTACAAGCGTTCTGTTTGCCTAGCAAAAGATGATTAACTTGATCCTGGTACTGTAGGTCAAAATGATAATGGCTACAAACAGGCCAGATGTTCTTGACCCTGCACTTCTTCGACCTGGGCGATTGGACCGCAAAATAGAAATTCCTCTGCCAAATGAGCAATCCAGAATGGAGATCCTTAAGATTCATGCTGCTGGAATTGCCAAGCACGGTGAGATTGATTACGAAGCTGTTGTAAAGCTTGCAGAGGTAACCTAGCTAGTTCTTGTTATTATTTTTTTTTTATTTTTTTTTTCTGTTTTAATAGGTTTTTGACGCTGTAATTTGTTTAGGGATTTAATGGAGCTGATTTGCGGAATGTCTGCACTGAAGCTGGAATGTCAGCTATCCGTGCCGAACGCGACTATGTCATCCATGAAGATTTCATGAAGGTAATTTCATTTTTTCTTAATTTCTCTATCATTCTTTAGCATACCGTTATATTGTGTTTAGATGAACAGAGAGCAGGCTCTTTCTTCCACATACTCACTTTCATCATCTTGCGATATTCAGGCAGTACGAAAATTGAACGAAGCGAAGAAACTCGAGTCCAGTGCACACTACAGCGCTGATTTTGGAAAGGACTGAAGTCATGTAATTTCTCTTAGCAGCCAAAATCTCTTCAAGCACAACACTTTCCTTCCTGGCAAAATGATGCAGTCTTTGGACGCACACGAAGCCGAGCTTTTCCTGGTATCCCTGGTGCTTATCTTAGAACTATAGGAACTTGCTGTATCTGATCACAGATGGGGAGATGATGACTATTCATGAAAATATGGCAATTCTTGCATCTTAGATTTCTTTTTTCCAATCCGAGAGTTGAATTTGTACCAAAACATGATATCTGCGGCTCGGTTTACAAAATACACAGTTGATAAATTAATTGTTTCTATTTGTAATATTACTGCTCTGGAGATACAATCTGGATTGACGAACATTATATTGCAAGAACTCACTTTTTGGTGATTTTTGTTTAATGAATTTCAGTGGGCAAAACTGTTCAAATTGACCTATAAAGCATCTTAAAATGACAGAAATATTATTACCAATATGAGTATAGCTATGCCACGTTCGCACGTATTTATCAGTTGATTAACCTTTGTTAAGTGCAATAGATAATTGAGGTGGTGCGTATATGGTTTGAATTATACTCATGATAGTAGTTATCACTTATCACTTGGTGAGACTAATGTAGTGTTTTTTTTTAACCCCAAAAAGAAAAAACGAGAGAGGACTATTGAAATTAATTTATTAAGCATACGGATGAAATTGCAATATTTATAAGTATAAAAACGAAATTGGCACAAATGTAATACGAATTCAAAGATGGGTACAATTTTCCAATCAAATCCTATGTTATTCATTCCAGCATAGAATAATACGTACAAGGCCTACTCTTGCATGATCCAAATCCATTCACAGCCTATTGGCTATTATTCATAGTCAATATTAAAATACCTCAACAATAAAGACGTCTACTTTTTTTATTTGAAGTTGAAAGTTCAAATTTTCATATTCCCACGTTTGTTGTACTAAGAGGAAAGCATATCATTTTCCTAAATTTTATCATTTCACTGCAAAGGTTAATTCAAAGTTTCTTTTAAAGTTTGGACTAAATACATGTTTCACTTTCTTAATATATAAGTGGGTTTTTTTTAATTTATTATTTATTATTTAAAAAGTTTCAATTTAGCCTTCTCACGTCCAATTAATTTTCGTTTTCTTGATTGGAAAGAGAGGGAGAGGGAGGGGGAGAGGGAATAATAAAGCATAATTTTATGCAGTTAATTTCGGTTTTAGTTGGTAAAAATCGAGAGAGAAGAAAAATAATAATAATAATGGCAGGAGAGAATAAGAAAAAAGGATTTGAAAACGGTAAAATAAATAATTTCACATGAAAAGTAAGATCATCATACAAAGCTTATGTTTTCAAAAGTTGGGAGAGAAAAATACTATTTGGACCTGGTCATTCTTGGAGATAATCCTTTTCTCTTTTTATTTTTGAAAAACAAAAATAGAATATGTGTTTTGATCATTGTTGTTGGTTTTCTATTTTCTAATAAGTGAGATGATAGAGAGATATACGTGGTTTTTTAGTATCATATTTATTTATTTTATTAAAATAAATACGAGATGGTAGATTAGACCTCCGACCAAATAAGTGTTTATGGTAAATTTGATTTGCTTGAGGACCGTTGTCCATTAAGATTGGGTATGGCTAAACTTGCAATCGAGTTCGGTGATGACTTGCATAAGAGAAGCAAATACTTCGACGGTCAATCGAACCAGTAAAGATTCGACTTTAGATATAATTATCTCGGATGAGATTCGATAAGAACATCCGACCATTCAATTAATTTATTGAATGTATAGGATCAGAGCATGTCAATACCTTCAACTAAATGGAGTTCATCGAGTTTACAAATGATTGGGTTTCAAGCTTTTGGAAAAGACTTATTTCCGGATCTTTCTCAACTTTCTACATGACAAGTCCAATAATAATACTCTAACATAGAGTAAGAGTAGAGGCGGAAGGTTAGAGAAGAAAGAGAAAAGAAAGAAAGGAGAGCTGTAGCCGAGGGACGACTGAATTCCACGGGAAGCTAACTCCCGAAGAAACAAACCCATCTTCTCTCTAACACTGTTTTCTTTTCTCCACTATTATTTTTTCTTTAATTAATCCAAATCCTTTTTTTCTCCCTCACCGAGAAAAAATTCCAATTTTCCCCATAAACACAATTTCCCCGCCATTTGCTTCCCCCATTTCATATCCCTCTCCTCTCTCTCTAGGGCTCCGTCTCTCTCTCTCTCTCTCTCTCTCTCTCAATTCTGAGCTCCGGCTTCCGAATTCCTCCTGGATTTCCGTTCCCGTACTCTACGGATCGCGCTCTCTCCGCCTCACTGATCGATGAGTTTGCCGACTTCTTCTGCCTCTGCCGGCGGCTCCGGCTCCGGCTCCGGCTCCGGCCACCGCGGCATCGGCCTCTCCAATACTATTCACTCAGAGGTTGCTCCCTGCCTCCCCTTGCCTTCGCTTCCGGTCTTCTTTGGCGCCTCCGAGCAAGAGCTCAGGCTATTCGATGAGCCGCCCGGGAGCTATGCTACTTCCACCAATGATGTTCTCGCTCAGTCCAAAAAGATCGCTGATCTGCTTCGGGCGACTGACGTCTCTTACTTGTGAGTTGTTTCTTACTTATTTATTTAATTTTTTTCAGCTGAATTCTGGTAGTTAGAATTTAGTACTTCGGATTAGTTGACTGAATTTCCGTTCAGTTGACTGAATTTCTGTTCAGTCGTATTGGTTTCTGGCTTTGGCAGAGTTACTATTTCTGTTTTTTTTTTTGACCGTTGATTGATGAGTATATCTCGCGATTTCTTATAATTCGGTAATGCAATACAACTAGTGTTTCGTTTAGAGTTTAAGTCATTGTTGAGGTTGAAAATATAGGATATGTACGAATGGCAGCATTTATGGTCTGACAATTTCGAAATTGAACCGCGTACAGTATGAGCAATAGTAACTAACAAATTTGGATTAGTTAAGTCAACGCGGTAGCTGTTTGGAGTTCATCCGTACTCTACTAGTTTTACTAAGTAGTAGTTGATTCTATAGTAGAGTTCTAGCTAATTAATCACGGGAGATTTACTGCGTGCCTAGCGCAGAATGCTCCTTTCAGATGACTCATGCATGCCATGGTGTTTTCTTTATCATTTCCCGCACCAAATTGAGATATTGCAAAGTCTCTGAATCTTTCATAGTTATTTGATATTGGTAAAGTAACTAGAGTTTGCATGCTGTGCATTTCTTTCCTGATTTTTTATTTTTTTTTTGCTTTTTCACTTGGACGTGATCAACAGAAATCTAAGAGAAGATGCTGAGGCTCTTTCAGAAGGGTCTGTGGAGCCTTTTGAACTCTATAAGGAAGTTCTTCGCTATGATGCTGATGCCTTCAATTATACTGCTCCAGGTAAACGAAGTCTTGAAATGTTTCTCTCCACTATTTAATGGAAATATAAGTGAGTTATCTTACCTGTATTTTGTCATATTTCGAAACCGTGAAGGTACTATTTTGAGTGACACAAACCATCTTATTTCATTTCTCTAGGTCCAAAGTAATGACAAAGCTTTTAAAACTGTTATTATGCGCAAAGTTGGTGTAGAATTATTACTTCTTGTAATGCACAAATAGCTCCATAAGTCAAGTTCATGTTGGTTGTAGTAACTCATATTACGAGGGGAAACTTTGTGCAGGGTTCCACGGTTTTTACATTTTTTATTACAAAAAAAAAAAACTGGGAGCTAGGAAGCGTTGATATCATACTTTAGTAGAATATTAATGTTTGAGGTGCACCAGGAATTGGAAAGTTCAACCTTTTTTTTATGACTATTATGTTTGTGCATTATGATCTTGCAGGGATAGCCATGTTAAGGGATACTATTGGGAAAAAAGTTATGAATAATTATGAAAATAGAGAAGTGAGAATGAAAAGGATTTTAATGCTGCGTCAGATAGAAATATGCAATTTGCTACATTATCATTATATACCTTTTTTTTTTTAGATTTTGTTTTATCTGGATGACTTATATTATTTTTCCGAAGTCAATCATTTATTTTTGAACTTACTGTCTATTGTGCTGTTCAAGTTTCTCAGGTCCTATTATGGAGCATGTCTCTAGCAGTACAGTATCTGATAGGAAAGTATTTGAGCAAAAACTACCTATTAGAAGTAAAGATGAAGGAGACTGCAGAATAAATCAAAATCAAAAGCATAAGCTTGAATCTATTCAAACTAATGTATGCAAGCATTAGAGTTTCCAGTTTCTTTCTTTTGTTACTTGTGCTTCGCTAATCCAGGCAATAAACATTGACAGGATGCACCAATATCATCTTCTAGAAAAGTCAAAGTAAAGAAGAAAGGCAGAGATGAAACGTCTTCTGTTAGAACAGATTCTTCTGAGCTTCAAGGTTGTTCTAGTTGTTCCTTGAGCTAATGAAAGCTGCACTGTATTTTACCTCACAAGTTTTGATCTTCATTTTTCATGGACTGAATATTACTTTGAATGTTGTAGACACCACCCTTGCAAACTTTTGCGAGTTTTTAGAGGAGTTTTGTGGGAGAGCTGAAATTGTCAGTGATGACCGTGATGAATCAGAGTGGCTGGCACTGCCTCTTACTGATCTAAGAGTGCTTGTCAATGAAATAATGTCCATTCGTTCAAAGAAACTTCTTCATTTGGTTTCTCTAGATAACCTGACGAGGCTGTTGAGGGTTTTAGATCATCAGATACATAGAGCAGAAGGATTGTCTGTAGAAGAATGTGAGCATGTGAGTATGCTACTTTTGTGCTATGGTTTTTCACTGTTTTAGCAATCAAAATTGTAATTCTGCTATTCATCTTCTCAATCAGTGCTTATTCCTAGGTACTTAAACTATTGTTATTGTGAAGTAAATCAGTGTTGAATAGAAGTTTTTGCATCAAAGTCCATTTGCCGTCGGCCAGCTGTGTAGTTGTTAATTCTATGTTAAAGTAAATGTTTTTTTGTCTTATGCATTCATTTGCTTCAGATCATTGATTCACAGCTTTTGGTTTTTCTGATAATGGGTTCAATTATTGAAACACGAGGTTCCATGTAAAACATAAATGTTTCTTTTAGTCTTTTGCATTTATTTGCTTTATATCACTGATACACCACTTTCCATCCTTCTAAATCCTGATACGGGTTATTATGATTGTAATATAATGTTCCGTTTGGTAAGACAGATAAGCAGATAGAAAGATGACTGAAATATAAGGTTCCATGTGATATATGGAAAAACAATTGAAAGATGGAGAGATTTTTCTTTTTTCTGTTCAATAGAAAACAATTTCATTTGATACAATCGTGTAAACTATAATTTATTTGGAAACTTGTTTTAAAACCATACATTTGCTCAGTTATTTCAGTTGTCAACCAATTACTTGTTGTGTCAGCTGGAAATCTTAAGTTGTGTCATTTCTGTGCCCCTTATCTCTTTACATGATTATGGTTGGAACTTCCTGAGTTCACTTTATAGTTTCCAAATGATCAAAACATCAATTTTTAGGACAGTTATCATGGTCTATTTTTTCACATAACTGTGATACTTTGGTAATTTTATAATTACTTTGGTGTTGCGACTCTTTAAAATTGAACATGAAATGTTCTGTTCTTAACTCTTATTAAAGAAAACATGAGTCCTGTTTAGCATTCTTTTTTTTTTTTTTTGGATAGGAAGTGTTTAGCAATCGACTTATATTTGGATGTTTACTTTGATGTAATTCTTTCTTCGTTATTGTGTCAGTGTTTCTAAAGGATAAGGCACACTCTGCAGTGAGAAGGTTCTTAATCTTCCTTTTTTAGAGGCAGGAAGCCCATAATTGATTTTAAGCAGGGCATCTTTTGTAAAGCAAGAATTATTATAAAAAAGGGTTTGCTGAGTCTAGCCTTATTTATGTAAATGCAATATTTTGTTTGGGGGCTTAAAAGATGTGGTATCAACCTGCATCCTTGGGTGGGTTTATGCTTCATCTACCCTCCTGATTTGTATCTTTAGGTTTTTAGAGTTGAAATTTCCTATGAAAAATGTACAACAATCTAATTTGGTGGTGCAATGGTTAAGGAACTGACGACCTGTTTTTAATATGAAACATGTATATTAGGAAATTATTTATCCTTTTCTTTTTTCTTGGGAAGAAGGTGGTGGAGGGGAGTTGTTGCATTTCTTACTTTGAGAAATTCCTAGTAGATGTGGAAAAAAAGATTTCAATAGTGAGAAGCAAGATTCTTGACATCAAGGATCAGGCGAAGTAGACAATATATTTAACAGAATTAGAGTCAGAGACATGGATGCAGTCAATTGCAAGTTTAAAAGAGTAAATATTCTTGACATACTACTCATAGTTATACCTATGCTTGAGAAATTGGATTATGAGCTTTGCTAGAGGGGACCTCAACTTATGCCTTCTCAAAACCTTGCTATATGGAAGAAATAGTGATTACACACAGAACTAATAAGATTGGATGCCACATGACAAATCATTTGATGGAATATGTTTTCTGAGTAAGATAACTTTATGGGCTTATCAACTATTTCTATATCAGTAATCTTCTGGAAGGCACTTTTAAAGGATCTTTATGTAAAAATTGGAAGGCCTCTTGGTCTAGTGACATCTCTGTTTGAACTCTTGATTTAATCTTGAGCTAGAACTGTAGATATTCTGCTTGGCTCCTGTTTTGTTTTACGCCAGGTTTTGTCAATTTATTATTGGCATGCCAATTAGACTTCTGGTTCTTTTTTTTGTCGCTGGAGGGTTCTTTCAGTTCTAATGAAATGGTTTCTTGTTATTTTCTTGTTTTGTTTTTCTTTATAAATAGCCTTTTCTTCTGCCCTGCTTGATCTCATTGCATTATTATTTCTTTATCTAAATTCAGATTATCTTTTTACCATCATATCTCAGTTAGATTCGGATGCCATTGCAACCGTCTTTTGTGCTTTGGAGTCCATACATGCATCTCTTGCAGTAATGGCTTATAACCAAATGCCAAAGTTGCTTTATAAAGAAGAGGTTTGTTATTTTAGTTGCTTACATTTGTCTTATCCTTATTAGCATTCCATCGTGCATTCTGATGATCATTGTTCTTAAAGTTCAAACTTCAAAGATGGTGCCTTAAGCTAGGTCAGACTGCTCAAATTCATTTCGCATAAGTGTTCACTTCTTTTTTCAATAAACTAAAGAAAGGAAGATTTAAACTAAAAAAAAGAACAAAAATTTGTCGGTTATTTTTTCAACCTTTTTATCCAAAGCATGACTTCTCTATCTACAGTAGATGTGGAGGAACATGGAAATAAGATTAAACTAAAGAGGAAAAATATGGAGTCTACCTGAGGGGAAAAATAGAGATGAGAAGTTATTTGGTGATGATGAGTTTTAATTTTTAGGCCTTTGCAATGTGATTTGTGTTTGTACTTAACTGTGTTTCTAAACGAGGAAAAATATGGGCTTGTTTTTTATGCCTCTTGTATATTCTTTCATGTTTATCAATGAAAGCTTGGTCTCTTATTAAAAAAATAAATAAAGACTTTGTCTTTCATGGTTAATCCTTTATTTTTTCACTATTCAATATCTCATACTTCTTGCTAATTTTTAATATTATATGTATATATGAAAGTTCTATAAATGTATGTTTTATTTCACTTTTATTTTTTTATTAATTTTAATTGCACAACCGAAATAGTACTTTAGCTTCATGCTTTTATAAGTGTTGCTGATGATATATATATTTCATTGACATTTGATAGATAATATTTGTCTTTTATATCTCAGATCATAGAGAGAATTCTGGAGTTCTCCCGACATCATATAATGGATATTATGTGTGCTTATGATCCTTCATACCGGGCTTTACATAAAGCCAGTGAAAATGGTGTGTTTGAAGGTCAGCAGTTTAATCTTAGACTAATGCTATTTGGTGTAGATTTTTTTTTGTCCCTTAAGATATTTGGATGGAGAATAGTAAAAGATTTCTTAATTTATTTTTATTATTATTTTTTTTTGTCTGAGATTGTGTTTTGAGTTGAATCCCATTTGTGGGTTTTCTTTCATTCTTTGAACTTATTGACCATGGACTTTGCACTTAGTAGATAATCATTTTTTTTATAAAACAAATGCTATTTTATTAATCTCTCTGTGGAAAGTGGATCCATGGTTCGACCTTTTTGTCATATGTTCTTTTATGGCAAGGCTGTGGTGATGCATATCATTTGAAGTAGTGCTGGTGGAACATTTTTTCCAAGTTTCTATTTATAGTCTTTCCTTTTGCTTCTGAAATTATGAAAAAAGGTCTTGAGTATGTTTTTTTTTTGGTTAACTACACCTTACAGATGAACTTTAATCTGTTCCATGTGCATTTTTTGATTTTCCAGTCAATGAAGATGAAGAATTTGATGGTGATTATGGTTCGTCGAGTAAGAAGCGTCGTGGTGTTAAGACTTCTAAAATCAAGAAATCTGCATTCAACAAGTGTGCCTATCATATACTGTCCCTTTAACATTGAACATTATAATGAATTTTGAAGAACTCGAATGAGAAGTACATGTATTTTTTGCTTTGACAGGGTATCTTCTGCTGTTAATACTATTCTTCAGAAGATGTGTACCATTCTTGGTTTACTTAAGGATTTGTTGCTGATAGAGAGATTACCAGATAGCTGTATTCTTCAATTAGTGAAAACAAGCTTTTCTACTTTTTTGGTGGATAATATCCAGCTCTTGCAACTCAAGGCCATTGGTTTAATTTGTGGGGTATGGATTTTTGCTTCTCTTTCTGCAAGAAATATCGTGTCACTTTGTCTATGTTTTGCATGAATACTAATGCAATTGCTTACTACTAGTTTGAATCTCCTGATGTATCATTCATACTTGGTGCAGATATTTTATTCATATACACAACATCGTAACTATTTGATAGATGAATTAGTTCAGATGCTCTTCAAATTACCATCCACGAAGCGAGCTTTAAGAGCTTATCACCTACCTGAAGAAGAACAACGTCAAATTCAAATGATTACTGCCCTATTGATTCAATTGGTACATTATAGTGCAAACCTCCCCGAAGCTTTGAGGCAAGCATCAGATAGTAATTCCATCTTTGAAGTTTCAGTTGATAGTAGTTGCCCTACCAAATGCCATGAAGCAGCTACGGATGCATGCTGTCTTTTCTGGACTCGTGTACTTCAGCGCTTTGCGAATGTGAAAACTCAGGATGCATCTGAAGTGAAAGTAATGATGGAAAATATGGTTTTGGATCTGCTCACAACGTTGAATTTACCTGAATATCCTGCATCAGCTCCTATTCTGGAGGTAGTAATTTTTCAGTTCTAATTGTTTAGAATAAAAAAATACTAATTATTTAATATTTTTTAGATTATCATTCAAATTCTGAGGCATATCCATTTGCAGGTTCTTTGTGTGCTATTACTTCAGAATGCTGGACTGAAATCTAAAGATATCTCTGCTCGTTCTATGGCCATTGACTTTCTTGGCATGATTGCTGCAAGGTTGAAGCGGGATGCTGTCATTTGTGCCACTGACAAGTTCTGGATTTTGCAAGAGTTAGACAATAAGGAGGATGATGCTGATCAGAGTTACCCTAAGGATGCCTGCTCTATATGCTTGGATGGCAGGGTTGAAAAGTATTTTTTTGTCTGTCAAGGTTGTCAGAGGTTGTTTCATGCTGATTGCATGGGAGGTAGGGAAAATGAAGTTCCTAATCGGGGCTGGTACTGTCAAATCTGCCTCTCCAGAAAACAACTTCTTGTATTACAATCATATTGCAAATCCCGATGTAAGAATGATGGTGAGAAGAGTAAAGATCGGTATGAAAAAGGTTCCAAAGCTTCTTGGCTTGTTACAAACATTGAAATTGTTCAGCAGTTGCTTCTGAATTACCTCCAGGAAGCTGGTTTTGCAGATGATGTTCATCTATTTGTTCGCTGGTTTGTATGGTTTTGACCCCTTTTTTGTTTTGCTTTATTGTTATTTCTTGTTTCCTACCTTGCTGTTATCCTGATATATATGCACGTATGTATAGGTTCTATCTCTGCCTGTGGTACAAAGATGATCCAAAATCTGAGCAGAAGTTTATTTACTATCTATCTAGACTGAAGTCTATGGCAATAGTGAGGGACGGTGGCAATACTTCCTCATTATTGACTAGGGATTCAGTTAAGAAAATTACTCTCGCACTAGGACAGAATAATTCTTTCTCTAGAGGTTTTGATAAGATCCTTCACTTGCTTCTGGTTAGTAAACTATTTTTGTTGATTTTATTTATAGATGTACGACTGAAACTCTGATAACATAATTGTCCTCATTCAGGCAAGTTTAAGGGAAAATTCTCCAGTAATTAGGGCCAAGGCTTTACGAGCGGTGCTACTCTTCCCCTTTTTTCTTTTTATTTGTTTATTATTTAACATGGCACTGTATTTTAAACCGTACTTATGTTTTATCTGAATTAATGAGCAGGTCAGTATTATAGTCGAAGCTGATCCAGAGGTCTTGGGTGACAATCGTGTGCAACTGGCTGTTGAAGGAAGATTTTGTGACTCTGCAATATCTGTCAGAGAAGCAGCTTTGGAACTTGTTGGCAGACATATTGCCTCACATCCTGATCTGGGTTTCAAGGTCTGCGTGAATGCATGCTGTAATTCTCATTTTCCCATGTATCTTTGATCTCAAATTCTTTTTCTTTCAACCCTAAAATTTGTGTTTGATTTCACAGTACTTTGAAAAGATTGCTGAGAGAACCAAAGATACTGGAGTTAGTGTTAGGAAACGGGCCATCAAAATCATTCGCGATATGTGCACATCAAATGCAAATTTTTCAGAATTTACAAGGGCATGCATAGAGATTATTTCTCGTGTTGGTGATGATGAATCAAGTATTCAGGTAGCCCTAAATCAAGTTCATTTCATTTAAGATCCAGTTGAGTACATCACCAAAGGTGATAGAAGCTCAGTTTTCAAACTGAAGTTATAGTCTTTTTGTAGCACGCCAGAAGAAGCTAAATATAATTGTATATGCCTGTAACTATTCTGTTTTTTCAAGTTTCGCATACTGTGCCTACTGCATAATGTATTTACATACATACATATATATCTATCAAACGAATGAAACTTCCATTATCAAAGGGGAAATACAGAAAAGGAGAGATGAGATATCCCCACAGGCCAAAAGGTTATAGAAAAGTCTCCCAATTTGCAAATATTTGTGTCAAGTACAGAACGCTTTAGAACATAGAACCCAAAAGAAGCAAAGATTTTAACAAGGTCTCAAACAACAGCCCTATTCGAGTCTTCTCCATGAAAAATTCTTTTGTTTCTTTCAAACCATGATTCCCACAAGAACCCTATAACCCCGTTGGACCAAAGAATTCTCACCTGGCCGATAAAACACATTCCACACATAAGCTGGAGCAATGCCTCTGAAGCTCTGTTGGGAAAGCACCAACTGATGCTGAAAGTTTGAACAACCCTTCCCCAACAAGCAGCTGCGAAGGGACATGTGATGAAAAGATGTATCTAAAATTCTCCATTCTTCCGACAGAGAATGCACCAATTAGGGGAGAGAGACACCGCAGGCAAAATTTTATGGGGTCTGGAGCAGGTATTTATTAGCCTCTCAGACACAAAAATCAATATTCACAAGAAAACTTTTACCTTATTGGGAACCTCAGCTTGCCAGATCATACTCTAGAGAGGACTCAAAATCGCAGGCTGGTTAACAAGCTTAGACAAAAGTTATTTCACCGAGACAACTCCACTGCTTTCAAGATCCCACACCTTCACAACTTCACCGTTGGTTGGAGCAAAGTCAGCACAGGCATTCGAAGTAAGGTTCACTCCACCTCCAAATCCGATAAGTTGTGTCTAAAATTTAGATCCCAACCCCTTTGATTTTCAGAACAGCTTTGAGAGATCACAAAATCTTTCGAGTTAACTACTCTGAATAATCTGTGGTAGATATGTTGAAAGCGGTGCATTCAAGAGCCACCGGTCTTTCCAAAATAACACTTTATCCCCCTTGCCACCTTAATTCTGTACAATTCATCAGCTTTAGAGCAACATTATAAGATGCTAACCTATGGGCCTTTGTGCTTGGTTTTGCCTTCTAAAGCTGCCCACCACTCACTGGTTAAAAATGGTATTTCCTGGCTATCACAGACCTCCAAAGAGCATCCTTTTCAGTCATAAAATGCCATCCCCGTTTAGCCAACGAAGCAGAATTTTTTGTCGCCAAACTACCTAAACCAGCTCCTCTAAAGCTGTAGGAAGCGCAGTAATGTCCCATCTTATTAAATTAGAGCCATCAGTGTTAGTTGTTAGTTTGCTCTTTTGGAATGATCTAATACCTTGACAGTGATTCTATTGTTCCATGCTTACAAATATAGGATTGATAGTTGACAGATTTGAATCCTTCCAAGTTTCATGTGTTTTAGGTATTCCGTTCCTTTAATTCTTTAACTAAGCTTTTTCTACAATACTTTTTTCTTGAATAGCATTGAGAAAAATTCTCATATTCTAGTATCTGGTCAAGTAACCTACTATGAAATGAAAGAGAGATCCATTGGGACCAAGATACGATGGATGCAAGAAATAGAAGAGGAATAAATGCTTTTGTATGTGACACTTTTTCATCTTTGATTTTTCTTTAATGAATTCTCCTTCCTTTTTAATCTAATTAACTCCTTATTTAACTTTTTTCATCTGAATCAATTTTCTATTTATGTCAATCAATATTTAAATGCTAATATTTTACCTTCGAAAAGTTTGCTAATTTTTACCTTGTATAAATGAAATCCTGAATTTCATTATATTGATTGATTTTTGGACCAGTTTGTGACTGAGATACGTGAGATGCCTTTTTTTTTTTAATAATTAATACACATCTTCTGAATTAAGCCACAAAATTTCTTTCAAGTTGGAACTTGGAAGATGCCTAAACCTGATATATCCGAAAGTTATTCTCTCGTTTGAGTCTGAATATGGCGCATAGGAACTTGTTTGCAAGACGTTTTGTGAGTTTTGGTTTTGGAGCCTAAATTCAGTTCTTTGTAGATGATAGCTCTGTTCCGTTAGATTTTTTGCTTCACATTGATTGAATTAAGCCGCAAAGATTTCTTTTACTGAAGTAGGAGTTGCCTAAACCTGATATATATGACAATATTCTCTTGTTTGAGTCTGAGTGAGCATCCGACTCTTTTTAATAATTATGGTAGGATATTTTTTGCAAGACATTTTCTAAGTTCTTGTTTTGAGAAACTTCTGGTTCACGAAATATGTTCTTTATTGATGACTGCTCTGTTCCATTAGATTTTTACTTCACATTTATTGAATTAAGCCACACATTCTGTTTACTGGGGTAGCAGATGCCTAAAACTGATATTATTTTCTTGTTTTGACTGAGTATCTGACTTTTGTTTTATACTTAATAGGATCTTGTTTGCAAGACATTTTATGAGTTCTGGTTTGAGGAGCCTTCTGGTTCACAAACTCAGTTCTTTGGAGATGATAGCTCTGTTCCATTAGAGATAGCCAAGAAAACTGAGCAAATTGTTGAAATATTGAGGAGAATGCCAAATCATCAACTTCTTGTGACTGTTATTAAGCGAAACTTAGCCCTTGATTTTTTCCCACAATCAACTAAGGCTGTTGGTATCAACCCTATTTCCCTCACATCAGTTCGCAAGCGATGTGAGTTGATGTGTAAGTGCTTACTGGAAAGGGTATTGCAGGTAATACTGTTGCTTCCCATTTTTTTATTCTCTGATTTGTTAGGTTTTGATCAATGATATACATAGAAAGTTGCTTCTCAGGTAGAGGAGACAAGTAATATGGACACAGAAGTGCGTGCACTTCCATATGTATTGGTCTTGCATGCATTTTGTGTTGTGGATCCAATGCTCTGTGCGCCAGCCTCGAACCCATCCCAGTTTGTGGTTACTCTTCAACCTTACCTCAAGAGCCAGGTTATCTGCTATTAATTTCATTTGTATATTAACTCCTTTTCTGATAACTAGATATAAATAAATAATGTTTATAACTTGAAGTCATAAAATGATGAATTCTCTTGTAAAACTTAATTTGTCATATATAGCTAACAATTTGATTAAAAAATCTTAATTTCTCATATTATATTGTATGAACTATCAGAATTAAACAATAATAAAAGTAGAATTGTTGGATTCGTCTGTGACTTCTGAAAAAATTAATATTCAATAAAATGCTGAAAGGCATGTTGAGTTCATATTTTATACCCTGGATAATTTATTTAATATTTTTTCTCCAAATATTAAACTAATAATTTTTTTTAAGAAACAATTTCAGAGTATGGAACTACAAAAGATGGGAGAGGAAAATCGAGCCCAAGCAAAGGAAGATATTTAAAATAACAAATAAAAATATAACCTCTAAAATGTTAAATGCCATGTTCATATCTACTATAATAACTTATCCTTAAAATATAGTTTTTTGTAGCATTATTGATTCTTAACCTCATTTCATAGTTTTATATATTTTAGACCAAGAAGTATTATAGTATCTGTAGGAAAAGACAAAAGACTTATTGATTTCAAATGCAAATGATTCAATGGAGAATTACTTGATAGCATTATTTTTTGATAGGAAACTGATATGTAAGTGATGTGAAAAGATCATGCAAAAAAGGAGAGATGAGATATCTCCAAAGGCAAAAGGTTACAAAAAGGAGTTCCAATGGACCATAATATGTACAATGCCATAATTACAAAGAAGTTTAGATTGAGAACACTATATGGAGGCAAAGAGTCTGATTGAATCCCTCCCATAAGTCTTCTTTGCAAAAACTCTCCTCTTTAAGTATCCTCTGATTCGTCTAATACCAAAGTTTCTACAAGGAGACCATAATTGTTTGTACTTTTTTATACATTGTATTTGTCATCCCCGAGATGCTTCTTTACATAAGAACTCATTCTGTCCATTTTCATTTACGTATACAGTCAAGCTACAGATGCATTAATCAGATACTCAGTCCTTGTATTTTTCACGCAAGCCACATTTTTCTTTACATTTATCTCTTAAATTCAGAATAAGATTTGGGGATGCATACTCCTTAACTTTTGTCATATTGTTGTTAGGTTGATAACCGAGTGGTTGCTCAATTACTTGAGAGTATCATATTCATAATTGATGCGGTTTTACCCTTGCTACGAAAATTATCTCCAAGTGTTGCTGAAGACCTAGAGCAAGACTTGAAACACATGATTGTTCGGCACTCCTTCTTGACAGTTGTACATGCTTGCATCAAGTACTTATTTTCTTTCTCAGTTTCTCTCTGCGTCTTTTTGTGCTTTTCTCTTATTTACACCTTGATATATCTTTGCTAAACTAAATGTTACCACGTAGTGTTTTATTACCTTGAACATAACTGGACCATGTAGTTTGAACTTATTTGCAATCTCAGATTTTTTTCCTCCCTAATCACAGGTGCCTTTGCTCTGTGAGTAAGGTAGCAGGTAAAGGTGCATCAGTTGTAGAGCATCTTATTCAGGTGTTTTTTAAACGCTTGGATTCTCAGAGGGTTGAGAACAAAGAGGTTAGATTTTAAAATTGTCTTTATTATATTGTTATGTTTCTTGTGAGCAACAAAAAGCATGCTTCTAGAGAAAGGTTTGGCATCTTAAGCATTGGTTATGATCTAAGAAGCACAAACACTTCATTTTGGGTAATGTTTCCGTGTCGGACACTCCTACACTTATCAGACACTTGTTAATTTAATAGATGTGTGTCACACATTAGTTGTACAAAGTGAAAATCGATTCAATACTTATTTGGCACATATGGAACACTTGTTATGCATAAGAAGGAGACATAAATATTAATATATGACAAAATAATGAATTTTGTATTCTCAAACTCATTTTTTAAAACATAAAATTGCATAAACTCATTGACTTTGAATTTCCTTGTAGTATAAAAATATATATACTTTAAAATTGTACATTTCAGCGTGTTTTTGCCGTGTCCTTGTCCTATATTTCTAGAAAATAACGTGTCATTGTGTCCGTGTCTCTGATTTGTATCAGTGTTTCTTAGGTTATGATATATTATGCATGTGGCAAGATCTTCTGGGTTGTTTTTTTTTTCTTCCTTTGTATGTATTTGTTTAATTGGCTAGTGAAATGTATGTCACTTAGTTTATCACTTGGGATGAATTTCAGGATATATCACATTGTCACTGTAGATTGCATGGTCGCAGTTGAAGTGTTATTAGTCATTCTGCTTCTTTTCGTTGCTTCCATTATATATCTGACTGACATCTAAATTGATTTTTATTCCTTGCATTTTGTATTTAGTTTATTTTTCATTGATGGAGTTGTTTCTTACACACACACACACACATATAACAGTCTTTATTCCATAATGGGAAAGCTCTATTCCATTTCATCTTCTCCCTACATTTGTTTTTTTATATGTGATATACCACTATGTTAGTTCTTTGGTTATCAGAACTATTTTATGAAGTTGGTACAATGATAATAGTATATAAATTTGGATTATGATATTACAGCTGGTAGGACGTTCACTTTTCTGTCTCGGATTACTTATTCGCTATGGTAGTACTTTGTTGAGCAATTCCAGCAACAGAAACATTGATGTCACAAAAAGCCTCAGCTTGTTGAAGAAGCACCTGCAGACAGAGGATTTGGTTATTAGGGTTAGAGCGCTGCAGGTATCCTTTTACTTGTATTGTTTTCTTGGATTACTTTTTCACAAACTAAAATTTGTTATACATCTTGTAGGCTTTGGGATTTCTTCTAATTGCCAGGCCTGAATATATGCTGGAAGAAGATGTTGGGAAAATTGTAGAGGGATCTTTGTCATCTGGTTCTGATGTTCGTCTTAAGGTGAGTGAATAATTTCCATTGGTTTCCTTATGCAGTGTCATGGGAAACTGTTTGAATTATTTCGTTGGGCAGATGCAAGCATTGCAAAATATGTATGATTACCTTCTTGATGCGGAAAGTCAAATGGGAACAGACCAACCTGGTGATGGGGCCGCCCATGATACAGTGGAGGGTTCCCAAAGTGTACCAGTTGCTGCTGGTGCTGGAGATACCAACATATGTGGCGGCATTGTTCAGTTGTATTGGGATATGATACTGGGGAGAAGCTTGGATTTAAATGGCCAAGTTCGTCAAACTGCCCTCAAGGTAAAAGCCTGGTTGCATTTTTCTGTTCTGTATTATAATTAAGTTTACTAGAAAGGTCTGAGTCACAAAACTGTCTTAACTGTTCATATTATTCATAACCAAAAAGAGAAACTGGGAAGATCTTTGGACCTTAGTTTTTATTCCATGATACAGCATGAGGACAGACCAACATTTTCACTGCGTCTGTTGTCATGAATGTGTTGGACCATTTTTTCACTTTCCTGTACTGCGTCTGCTCCCTACTGATTTGGTTAATCTAGGAAACACGGACATGCTGTTTTTAACCAAGCTTGTGGAGAACGTGTCTGACACAGATGCTTCAGATACATGCTGGAGTGGACACGTTAAAATAGGAGTTTCAATATAGTTACTTAATTACGGACACTGTTGGGATACCTGTTACAGTTAAAGATATTTTTAAAGAGAAGAAGGAATAGAGCTGAAATTAGAGGAGGAAACATACCCACAAGTCACAACTTCTTCGAACCCCAACACGTGAAATTAGAGGGGATCATACCCACACTCCTTCAGACCTCAATGCAAGATAAATTAGAGGCAAACGCACCCACAACTTCTTCAGACCCCAACGGAAGAGAAATAGACGAGAAAACATACCCACTACCACTACTTTTTGAGACCCCAAAGGAAGAAGAAAATGACTTTTTTAAGGCTGTGTTGAGCACCAAAGAGCTAGATTGCCTTCTGATTTTCTTGTATCACATCCAACAATGAGGAGAAGCATAAAACAAGGAGCGACTTTCATGCGTTAAGATGAACCTTGTTACTGCGTACTAGAAGGAAACTAATATAATAGAGAGTGTGCACGCGTGCCCTTAAAAGGCTGAGAACCTGTTGCTTTCTACAACAAAAGAAGTTGTTGGTTTAAAGAGTTAAGAATTAAAGAGTAATAATTGGTAGTGGACTAGAGGTACACTGTACCTGTTGATTTTTGCGACATGTAGATCACTTTAGTAAAGGTTTTCCACCTTTTTTTTTCCTATTGATTTTTCTAATTTTTGTAGCACAATGGTAGTTGTTTGACTGTTTTCTAATTAGTTGGTCCACTTATATATATTGAAGTATTATTACTGTAATATATACGGTGTACACATATAAATTTAATAAAAATTAACACGTTACCATGTCCTTGTTGTGTTGTATCCCTGTCCCGTTTTCGTGTCTGCTTCTTTGTGGTTCATTGAGCATTGCCTTTTGCTATATTTTTAATGTACAGATCGTGGAAGTGGTGCTTCGCCAAGGTCTTGTCCATCCTATTACTTGTGTTCCATATCTTATTGCACTAGAAACAGACCCCCATGAAACGAACGCAAAGCTGGCTCACCATTTATTGATGAATATGAATGAGAAGTAATCTTCTAAACTCGACTATTGAGTTATCAACTTAAGAAATACCTATGCAATATAATTAAAGCATATTTTTTCAGGTACCCGACATTTTTTGAAAGCCGCCTGGGGGATGGTCTTCAAATGTCATTTATGTTCATCCAAACCATTAGTCGTGGTTCTGACAATGGAAATCAGAAAATTCAATCCAAGGCCTCTAGCAATTTGAAAGGGAGATCTGATGGTAGCTCATTGACTCAAGCAAGACTTGGAGTGTCTCGAATTTACAAGCTCATACGGGGAAATCGAGTTTCAAGGAACAACTTTATATCCTCAATAGTGCGGAAGTTTGACAGCCCACGCATGAATGACTCGATGATACCTTTCCTAATGTGAGTTCAAATCCATTCATTTTCCCCACCTTTGATATGACATCTTGGTTAAAATGGCTTTAATTGTTTCTACCAATTGCAGGTACTGTACTGAAATACTTGCCTTGTTACCATTTACATTCCCCGACGAGCCCTTATATTTGATTCATGCTATTAATCGAATAATACAAGTCAGAGGTGGAGCGCTTCAAGAAGAGATCAAAGCATTGGGTCTGCATTTGTTACAACGGAATACCCATACCCAGAATATTCCTTATGAAAATGGAATGGTTCTCCCTCAGCAAGCTGCTCTGTTTTCCGATAAGGTAATTTTGTTGGATATGAATGGGACAGCGGAGCTCGATCAGTCTCGCCCTTTTTGTGACTTCCCATCGATGGATTTGAATCAGCAAGTCCTACCGGAGTCAGTTGCTCATCATGAATTCAGTAACAATTCAACATTGGAGGGAAAATTCCCCAACGTTTGCTCAGTGGATTTGTATAGTATCTCAAAAGACGATCTTCAGAAAATTCAGGTGACTCCAAACTTCTGATTTAATCATTCAACTTTATACCTTCAAAAGTTGTTTGATTTGATTGCAATAATGTGCGTTCGTCTGCATATTTTGGTTGAAATTAATGGAAATATGCATCTTTTACTGGTAAAATGATTTTGCGACATCATTTATTTTTGCAGTAACTCGTTTCTTGCGTTAACTTTCGACGGTTCTTAATTGCAGACAATGAGCCTGGCTGCCATTGCACTGCAACTTCTTTTGAAGCTAAAGAGACATCTAAAAATTGTGTATAGCTTAAACGATGATAGGTGCCAGGTATATGTTTTTGTTAAATTTGGTAGTTATTCACACAGTAGACCAAAAAAAAAACCAGTAAATTGGCTTATGACGTTATTATTTAACAAGCTCCAACTTTTTTTCGAAATTAGTCCTTCAATCCAAATGAACCCCCCAAACCTGGAGAGTTTCTGTCCAAGCAGAATGTTCCTTTTGACGTCAGCGAAACATGCACCACTTTGCCAACAACTTATCAGGAGTTTATGCAAAGATATCAGGTACGATCCGACCTCGTCTCTCGCATCCCATGGTTTCATTTATTCTTGTCGGTTGTCATCTCCTAATTTTTGCTTAAATACACAGGATTTCAAGAGCACTCTACGGGACGACACATTCGATTACTCCACTTACACAGCAAATATCAAAAGGAAGCGTCCTACCCCAAGAAAAGGACGGAAATCCACAACGGGTGGCGATGACGATGACAACGACGATGACGAGGATTGGGGTGGGGGGCGGAGGTTGAATAACAGTGGCAGAAAAGGTAGCTATAACCGAGCAAGTAGGCAACGATGATGATAGCTGTAAGTATTGTTGTAAGTCATAGTTTTAGGCTAACTTGTACATTATTAATCAATCAAGTGAAATAGAATAGAGAGAATAGGGGGATAGAATGAGAGCGGGGGAAATCGAAATGGTTTAGATAATCAAAATCTGGAAACAGCGAATTGAAAAGTTGTGGAAGAGTTTTGGAGGCTCTCCCAGTAGCAATTTTTCTCTAGTTGTTTCCGTCATGTCATGTAATTTGGTTTTTGTTTTTGGTAATATATAATATTGGTTGCATTCATTTGTTAATGAATTTCAGCTTTCATTAGTCATTACAAAATTAGATTCCCTTCATTTTGCTTAGGAAATTTGTTACTAATTCGAATGCATATGGCATCTAATAAAATAGTGCCCCTTTTGGATGTAAGATTATCAATTCCATTTTTGTCCTATTCTTTTACTTTAGTTTACTCATGTTTCCTTTCTGATTCTCTCTATTATCTAGCTTTAGTTCCATCTTTTACTCATTTCTCTTACTTTAATGTAGTTTCGGCCTCAATTTTACAGATATAACGATGATATTGAAGGATATTCCCGTAAGTAAAAAAAAAAAAAAGTTACAAAAATTGTTTCAATTAATAGTGAAGTCATTTTCATTTTATGGGGGTTTGAATCTCTCAACAATGTTAATTACTATTGAGTTACGTTCATTTTAGCTTTGAATTTTTTATCTTATAAATATATGGATCAATTGATATTTTAATCTTTAATTTTGGCAGTGAAGCAATTTTTTTCAAATAATTTTATTTGAATATTACATAGCAATTGAAGGTGCGGGGGATTTCAAACTATGCTTGGTATCTCTCTTTCGTAAAATTGTAATCTTTCATGTGTGCTAAATTCTACCATTTCTTCATGCGAGCAACACTACTACAAGAATTGAAATGGGAAATGTAAGAGACCATATTCAATCAACAAAAAAGGATGTCTTTATTTAGTTAAAGTACACAAACTTGCAAAAGTGCGTAATTTCTATAACAAATTTGAACCTAAAAAAAGGGCAATGGATGGAAAGGTCATCCTCGAGAGGAAAGTAATCAAGGTACGATCACAAGAAGAGGCTGCACATTAATAATAAAGGGTTCAAAATTAGATCAAATAAAAAATATATTAAAAGACAGAATATGTAATTATATAATAAGATTTATATATATATAGAGAGAGAGTACCGTGTCTACGCTGACTGGTTTCCCATCCTCGGCCAATATTTCAGTTACAGTTCCAGATTGATCAGCCTGAACTCGAAACAAACATAATAAATAAATTTTTAAAAAAAATTCAGAGAAATGTTGACAATAAAGAAAATAAATATCAAAGAATGATAAAATGTTTGTAATCGGGGTATTAAATTTTCATGACATGTCACTAATTTCATCTGACATTTCTGAAAAAAAAAATATACCAGTAAAATATCACTAATATGAACATAATATTAAATATTAATACTCTTTAAACTTATTAATAAATGGTGAAATACTTAGGTCGTTAATTTAAATATTTGTTATCAATTATTTAATTTTTATGACTTTGACATTTGAAAATATAGAAATGAATAAATAAAAAATTGAGAGATGGAAAAGATGGATGATTCAAACCTCAATCTCATTCATTAGCTTCATGGCTTCAATGATACATATGACTTGCCCTTTCTGCACTTTATCTCCCACCTAACAAAACCAAAACAAATCACATGAAGTTGAACTTCTATATTCTATTCTCCATTCATCATGTCATGTGAACGTGTGTTCGAGTTCTCGAGTTACCTTAACGAATGGTGGTTCGCCAGGTCCTGGGCATCGATAAAATGTTCCAGCCATGGGGCATTTCAAAGGTGGATGAGAACTGCCTGCTTTTACTGCAGGGGGCGGGCTTGAGGGCGCAGCAGGAGCAGAAGCAGGCGCTGGTGCTGATGACGGTGTCGGTGGAGGTGCAAACGTGCTGTGTGCTTGAGGTGGTGGCAGTGTCATGTATGGAGCGGGCCCAGGTGCAGCTGCAGGTGGCTGTAGAGCTTCTTTTTTTCGTATTACAATTTCGCAATCCTGTTGCTTCAGTTGGAGTTCCATGATGTCTCTCGAGTCAACGAGTCTGCATACAAATAGATTACGTTAAAATTCGGCGACAAAAGATGCTGCAATCCGAGATGATGACACAATCAATCCTGGAAGGTTATAGTAGGTAACATACTTGATGAGATCTGAAACTTGGCTCATGAAGGTGGAAATCGACGACTTGTCTGGAAGAGAACTTTGATCAGAAACCACAATTGCAGAGTCGACTTTCCCTCCAGATGGCGCATTCCCAGGTGGAGAAACAAGCACAGGTGCAGAGTTTGAAGATTTTCCAACAACCACCTAGAACAATAAAACGATACACAAACCTATAATATAAAAGTCGATATTTCTACTCGAAAATGGAAAACGAAACTCATGTAACCTACTAACCTCATTAAGTGCATACACAATTAGACCAGAAGATTTCTTCTTGTTTAGCCCCTGAAAAACACAAAAATAATTATACCAAAATGTAACTAAAAACATGAACATCTTGGTGAACAGTTCATATTACACTGTCGACAGGATTCAGTGATGAACTCAGCGATATTGCTCCATAATTCGACTTCAAACCGTCCACATCAACCATGTTTCTAAAATCAACTAGTAGGTGCAAACGCCCTCCCGTTTGACATATCGATACAGAGAGGAGCTAGATGTGCTACTGACTGAATTAGGCGTTGAAAGTTCGATACAAAACTCAGAACCTTACTTCTTTTCCGGGATTAGAAACTATTTCATTAAAAACATGCTACAAAAAAGGCCTTACAAATCACATAAACAGAAGATAATCCATCGTTGTATAAAAGTTTGGACAATCTAGATCAAGCCTTCTAACACAGAACCTTACTTCACAACAAAGTTTTTTTTGTTCTTTTTTTCCACAGTCTTTTACCTAATCATCTTCTTTCTTTGGATGGTCATGATTCTGACGAAAATCCCAACACAATCAAACAACAAAGTAGTACGGATCAAAATAACTAGAAACTCGTGTCCATTGAATTCCAAAACCAAAACCTAAAATGCTGTTAACTTCCATCAAGAACCGTTATCCTTCTTCCTACACCAGATTATCAACAAACATCCACCATTTTTTCCATCCAGAGATAAATCTCTTACAAGAAAACATCACGAAAGAGAGAGAATCTTCCCAACTACATTAACCATGGAGTACATTACAACAAAAACGAAGTACTGACCTCAATCCCAGAGAATGGCGATTCCACAAGAGAAGATCCACTAAATCCACGGCGATTGAGCGAAAGCGTCTGCTTAATGTGGCCGTGATTCCAATTCTTCTGCGCAGTGGACCCGAAACCGGCGAGCGTGGAAGCCTTGGGGCATGGGACCGTGAAGGAAGCCATTGGAGAGCAACCCAGAAGGTCGAATGAGGCCGCCCGCAGAAATCTTTGGACAAAACGAAGTTTGGAGACAAAATGGGGGAGTGGGTGTTGAAGATTTTGGAAATTTCTTTGATCTGAGTGAAGAAAAAAGGGGAAAATGGGAGAAAGAGATCAAAAAATGGCGATGCGATCCAAGAGAGAGGTTTCAAAATGGGCTTAGGTTCGAGGGAAGGAGGAATAG